TTAGAATAGGGTTTTGGGGGCCCAATATCCTATAATCCGTAGCGTCTTAACTTTTGACTTTAGGGAATGAACCTAGATCTTTTTTTCTTGGTTTTTTTTGGTGGTGTCTTCTTGGGTTTCAGCTTATTGGGCTTAAAGGTGAGACGAGCATGCAAAGTAGGCAAATTTCGACGTTATTGGTTCTTCAGGGACCGGGTCTACAGGCACCTGGGGCATAAGAGCTCAAGGCAGCAGCAAAAATGTAAGCCTACCCGAATCCAGCAGTCATGACGATGATGACTATAGTCATGGTGCAAGCCACGAAAGCGTGAGGCGTCCCCTCCCGGAACCTGGCATAAATCCCCAAGTTCATGTCCACTGCAGGCTACTCAGGCTCCTCCTGTTGTGACACAGCTTCCCTAAACCCCTTGACACCTAAACCTCTAAAGCCCTGAAGCCGTAAACCCAAAGGCACCAGCAAAGCCTTATTATGTCTGTTTATAAGGGTGCCGTATTAGATTCGGGACCAAAAAATGGTGACCATTTAATGTAGAGAGCTACCCAGGTGAACCTGCATTATGAGGGCATTGCCTACCAGCACCACGGTGTTCGGGTCAAGCCGGAGACACACAGAGGGTTGAGCCTGATGCCGCTTCTTGCCCTAGTTCAGGGTTTAGGGTTTAGGGGTTTAGGGTTTAGGGGTTTAGGGTTTAGGGTTTAGGGGTTTAGGGTTTAGGGGTTTAGGGGTTTAGGGTTTAGGATAAGGATATCATCTTAACAGGGTCTACACTCGGATCCATGTCTTGTCTGAAGTTCAACGTCTTTCAGTATTGTATTTTCAGCGTGTCAGCACAGTCTTCTAGTGGATAACGGGAGGGTTTCCTGGAGGTGTGTTGATGGAGCCTCGGCCCCGAGGGTCATCACATGCGCTCGGCGGAGGGTTTTAGCAGGATGTTCGAAGACCTTTTGTGGGCGCTTTTCAGAGCTTGAGGAGCTGTTGCAAGATGTTTCAACAGGGTTTAGGCCCTAAGCCCTAAACCCCTAAACCCTAAACCCTAAACCCCTAAGCCCTAGATGTTGATTGCTCCTTTCAGGACTTGCAGGGCTTCTCTTTGTCTGTGCCATAAAAATCCGACACCATCGCAGCATGGGGCAGTTCTTGCCATGAGTGGGGTGTTCGTAGTGCCCTGCCCCTTTTTTAGGGTTTAGGGTTTAGGGTTTAGGGTTTAGGGTGTAGCGTAGCCTCGCGAAAATGAGACGGAATGGAAGAAGCACAACCCGAAAGAAAAATGTAAGCACATGAATAAGATTCCTCTGGAGGGTCACTCTGCAGCATTTTCCAGTACCGCCTGGCGTGCCAATAGCAATTAAGGCACCGAGACCTCAAGGCTTTGGGATCAACAAAATGCTCGAAGTAATCCTAGGGCAGGCCAATCGAAGGGCTGCCTTTTCAATCCGGCAGTTCACCCGCAAACCGCTTGGACCGCAAGCTTCGGTTTCTAGCCGTGAAGCAAGCCAGAAAGAAATGTATCCACCGCAGGGCCGCCTACCCCGATAAGAAATGCACGAACTCCATCCCCAGCTTGATCCTTTCCAGGATTATTTTCTGGTACGCTGCTCAGCTCAATACAGACTTTGACTCGTTGCAGGCCGCATCCATTGAATGGTATGCAACAGCATCACGCGGCAAGCATGGTGGGCAAAAATTCGGCATGCTTCCTGTTGTACTGAGACAGTACAAGTACCTGCAAGTCTGCTGCTAGCATCGGTTCCGAGTATGCCGAAGAGCTTCGTCGACCCTAGTGATTGCTGGCTCTGAGCGTAAATCTGTCGGAGATTCTGGAAACAGCAGAGAATTCCAGAGGTTCTGTCGCCGGATTGAGAGAGTGAGAGGGTTCGGGGTGTGCAAGAACATGTGTACATGCATCGGCATAGCATGCACTGCATGCTCCTTGCCTCCTTTTTTCCCTAAACCTTGAATGTCCCTAAGCATCCTTGAACCCTAAACGTCCCTAAACATCCCTAAACCCTAGACCCTAAACCCTAAACCCTAAACCCTAAACGTCCCTAGACATCCCTAAACCCTAAACTTAACTGCATTCCGAGGATAGCACCCACATCACATCCGTGGAGCACTACACCGCCCTGGTCTTCGGCCCAGAGGCCGAGCTCCTGCTGAAAAGAAAGCAGCTCTCAATAACATAGCATATAGCCTGCTATTTTGTATATATATAAAGAGAGAGAGAGAGGGGTATTATTATTATTATCATTATTATTATTATTATTATTGTGTGTGTGTATATATATATATATATTTTTTTGTTTATGTACTTACAGAGTATCTAAATATAGATATATATATATATAACTGTGACAGAGATCGCGGCCCATGCCGCCCAATTCTGCCCTAGCCTGGACCCTACACCTCAAGCATTGGAATGCCACAAGGATCTGAAGATGACTTGAGGCTGCAGTTAGAACCTTTTGAATTCTAGTGGGGTTGTATAAGTCCCAATTGTATAAGCCCCAGAAGGTTCAAGGTTACCTAAGCCCTAAACCCCACAACACCCCTAGTCCTTTTCATGGCTTCCGTTTGCCGAACCCCACAGACCCGAGCATCCCACGGTGGAAGCCTAAGCTAAAGGTTTAGGGTTTAGGGTTTAGGGGTTTAGGGGTTCAGGGCTTAGGGCTAAAATGCGACAAAACCCTTCACCGCGCCTGTAGCGGCTGCAGCGTCTTTCCTCCTCTGCAGCAAGCTATTGGGGAAATCCCATTTGTGGGGTGTTCATCTGCAGCAAGCTATTGGGGAAGAGCCCATAACTGTCTGGTGCTTAGTAGGGAATGGGGGAATGGATCCCCATGATAGTCCCTTCAGGTGCCTTTTGGCAGTCCCTATAACCCATTCCCCCATTCCCTGCTAAGCACCAGACAGATTGAGGCCCC